GGCATCACCGTATACTCGAAATGACCATACCGGGTACGAAAAGCAGTCTTAGGAATATCCTCCTCCTTAATCCGCAGCTGATGATACCCCGTGCGAAGATCAATCTTGGAGTAATACTTCGAACCCTTCAACTGGTCAAATAAGTCATCAATTCTCGGCAACGGATACTTATTCTTCACGGTAACCCGATTCAACCTCCGGTAATCCGTGCACAAGCGTAGAGTCTCATCCGTTTTCTTCACAAAGAGGACGGGGCTCCCCAAGGTGAAGTGCTTAGACGGATAAACCCAATCGCCAACAAGTGATCCAACTATTCCTTAGCTCCTTCAACTCCAAAGGTGCCATCCGATAGGGAGCAATGGATATGGGTTCGGTTCTCGGATAGAGATCGATCTTGAACTCAATTTCCCTATGTGGCGGTAATCCGGGTAATTCCTCGGGAAAAACATCAGAAAACTCCGATACAATTAACACTACATCCGTATGGATTTTATCCTATCATCTCCCATCAAGCTAGCTAAGAAACTCAAATGACTTCCCGATTTCGCTTTTAAAAATCTACTACCCATAGTAGGAAATGGATGGGAAGAATCTCGGTTATTCACAAAACTGAAAACGATTCCTCTCGGCAACTGAAATATAATCCGCTTGCGGAAACAATCCATTACCGCCCGGAAAGCGGACAACAAGTTCATCCCGAAATCACATCATATCCCTTTATCTCTAAAGCAATCAAATCCACAATCAATTCGTGCTCCCCAATGCGAAGCACGCAACCCTTGCAAACTCAGCTAGTATCTAACCGTTCTCCCGTGGGCAAGCTAATGTTCATAACATGCTCTAGCTTGCAAAACTCAATCCCAAATCAAGTGCATATGTCGTGCGTACAAATGAGTGTGTTGCACCGGGGTCAAATAATATTCGGCCCAAGAATTGTAAATAAGGACGATACCTTCCACAATGGCATTGGCAATGTCCTCCTCCGGCTGAGTCAAAGCAAATACTCGCCCTTGGTTGGCGCCGTCGGGGGCTTAAGCTTGTATCCGTCGTTGCGTTACAGGCCTCGGTGGTGGTGGTTGGGCTGCTGGTACCTGTTTGGCGGTCTGGATAGGCCCCTGAGGTGGAAAAACTGGACAATGCATCCTAATATGCCCAACACCTCCGCATGCAAAGTAGGATCGTGAGGTAATACCGGCTCTAGTCTGAGTGCCTCCCTCTCCTCGGGCTGTCAAAAGTCGCTGTCCACCTGTCTGGTCTGGGCGACGGTATGGTGTCGGTCTCTGTGCCCCACTAGTGCTAGCACCCGTCCGAATCGGACCTCCTCTCGTGAAGCCTTGTCGTCGCTAGCTATACTCTATGTCTCTCTCTACCAGTGCAGCTCTGTCCACCAAGTCCCCAAAATTACGGATCTTGAGAGCCACCAACTTCTCCTTGATGATCGGCCTCAGACCCTGCTCGAAGCGCTTGGCCTAGTCAGCCTCATTAGATATAAATCCCGTAGCATAACGGGAGAGCTCGTCGAACCGCCTCTCATACTCGGCCACGGTCATACTACCCTTTCGTAGTGCAAGAAAATCCGTCTTCATTCGGTCTCTGACTGATTCAGGAAAGTACTTATCTTAGAAAAGTTGATCAAACTCTTCCCAAGTGAGTGTATCGTGTCCCTTCTCGTCTTTATGACATCCCACCAATAGTCGGCCTCCCCCTCAAACAGGTAGGTCGCCAAACCAACTCTCAACTCCTCGGTAACTCCCATGCCGTCACAGATCTTCTTCACTCGGCGGATCCATCTATCCGCCTCCAAAGGATTGGAGCTCTTTTGAAAATTGGGTGGTCATTGTCTTAAGAATTCCCAAAGAGCTATCATCCTTCGGTCTCCGTTCCCATTGCCCGGTACTTGAGTGAGAGGATGAGCTCCACCATTGTGGTTGTTGTTACCATTTTGGTTTTGTACCAAAGTGGTGAGCTCCCTCAAGCATTGGTAAATGCCTTGCATGACATTCGGAGGTGGTGGGTGGTGGATTCGCTTGACCTCCACGGCTACGCCCACGTCTGTGTCCCCGTCCATTCATCCTGCACATCAATTCACAATTTAGTTCATCGATGTAAAGGACATCCTAAATATTAGGTTAAGCTAAGGCATAGAACGTATATAAAATTTCACTCAAGGATTTGATTCACCCTAATCCTAAAGCTCTAGAGGTGATTTCATAACCTACAGCTCCCATGTAAGACCTAAAGCCGAGGCTTTGATACCAACTTTGTAACGCCCCAAAACACACCCTAGATGACATTACATTCTAAAACCATTCATATAATGAGAACACTAATATAATTCCTTAAGAAACAAGACTTCATTTGTCATCCACGAATATTTATAACATTATCCAAAAGAATAAGCCCAAGTCATGGCTATTACATATCAAAAATTAATTAAGGGCAGCGGAATAAACAAAAGAAGCTAGGCTACACAATGTTCCAAAAGAATGTCCTAGTCTAGTACAAAAGGAAAGGAGGTCGCTCTATGCGTCTACCTCGGGATCTACACTCCCGTCCCGTGGAGTCTCCCAAGTAGCGGGCTCCTCGACCCTTACGTCCTCCTCCTCAAGCTGGTAATATGAAAAATGTTAGTGATAGGGGGTGAGCATGAAGCTCTGTAGAAACATTCTTCCAAACCCATACAAAGTTTAGAAAAATATTTAAAACGGTCGGTCTCAATTTTAACATAACATAGACACATAATTTGAAATAAAGTAGTGACATTTAAAAAGGATCTCAAGTTTATTTAAAAATATTACTTAAATGAATAAATGAGCACCACATACAAATAATAACCATTAATTGTCATAACCAATTTCCAATAATTCTTTCGGTAGGTGGCATACTTTGTGGTAACCTCCACCCCCCTTTCGGTCACCTTTGATTCTCAAGCATCCTTATCGGGAACCTCTTGAAAATGGATGAGCATCCTTATATGGAATCTCTCACCAATCACTATATTATTTCCCAAGTATCCTTACCGAGAACCTCTTGGGAAGGGGTGAGCATCCTTACAAGGAACCTCTCACTCATGTGCATCATAAACAACCCAACCAAGCATATAATTCTAACATTTATCTCAATTTACAAACATCTATCCAAAATTTCTAAAATATATCATATAATAATTCCACAACTAACTAAGAAAATACATGAGATCACAATAACATCATTTTTCTATTCAACACAAAACACTAAGGTTTCGAAATCCATAATAAAGAAAGCATTTAGGAAGGAAATACACCACTCTCCAAAAATTAGGGTTTTAAAACTAGAAAGGAGATTTTATGGGTTTTAAACCCTACTTTGTTCAAAACATGTAATCCTTGCAAAAAAACCTAAGAGAGGATGATTCCATAGCATATATATACCCTTGATAGCTAAAACATACATATATAAATACCCTAGCCTCAATGTAAGTGAATGAGAGAAAACCCCTACTTTGAATCTTTAGCTTTGGAGTGAAGAACAAGAATATTTGATCTTTAATCACCTTTGAATCTCTTGTTTTTTTCTTCCTTTCTTCTTCTCTAATGCCCTCTAGGGTTTCAAGAGGTGTGGGAGTATGAGGGGAGTGAAGGAAGTGAGAGCAAATGAGATGAAAATGAGTTTAAAATATAGCAGCCCCGAAAAATACTGTTCACAGGCTGTTTTGAGTTTCTCCAAATTTACGGTTTTGCCACTAAAAATCTCCAATTTGATCCATATGACTACCCTAAGGTTTTTCGACGTTCCGGATTCATTTTTAATGTTATTTTAACCTAAAAATATTTATTTTTATGATTTATCTCAACACCCACACCCAAGTCAACGTACACCCGAAACACTAAAGTTTCTATTTTACCCATACGAATCGGCTATTAATGAAGTTTTGCGATGTTTGCAAATAAAATGTGATAAAGGGTGTTTCTTAAAGCCTTTTATACTTATTTGAAGCCTAAAAGTACTCATATTCTTATATTTTGGTTTAGGATGCAAATGAAGACATTAAATGCAAAACGAAGCTAATTGGACTATTTCGACATCATTTCGTTATCTGCGCATAACTCTCTCATCTAAGCTCCGATTGAGATGATTCAAGATGCTATGAAATGATACGAAAGAGCTCTAAAACTTTCATGTTTTGAGTTTTGAGAGATATTGACTGCATCAAGGTCTAAATCGAGCTTGAAGTTGCAGCAGTGCACTGTTCACGTGCACTGTTCATAGCCTGTCTTCGTCCCTTTTCCATTTCCAATCCATTCCTAAGCCAACCAAATCTATCTCAAACCTCTCCAACACATATTTCTACACCAAACCTATTTAATACAAGTTCTAGGACCTAAAATTTCATATTTTCACTTATTAAAACCAAATTTCAACTATTATTTTCACTAACATTTTAAATCTCTACTTTTCCAATCTACCAAATTCAAACACACATTACTACATATATCCACATTTTTTTTTATCACAATTATTTACTATATATCTATATAAATATATAAAAGAAAATGCGGGGTGTTACAACACATGATCAAACATGCATACAACGATAGATCTTTGTATGTAAGAATACGCTTATAATTCTCCTGATCATGTCATTTCAAGGTGTATATACAATACGTTTAGGGATATTCAAACTCCAAAACTATATCAGCTGCATACAAATTCAATTGACCAGATGGCAAACTTCTGTAAATTTTCACTACTCATGGGAAATTGATGCTACACATCTTGCTGAGTTTTCAGAAAGGTCTCGTCTTTATTAGTATTAGATGTTGGTAATGGTAATGGAAACTTGTAGACACTACAGTTACAAGAATGCAAAAATACATTGACCAAAAATGGAAGACTGAAAAGAAAAAAATGGCACAAACATGTGCGAGACTTAAAAGTGCAAAATTGATATTCATATTTTAAACTTACAGGAAGAAGTGGAAGCAGAAATGAGAAGGCTAAAGCTGGAGCTCAAGCAAACAATGGACATGTACAGTACAGCCTGCAAAGAAGCACTCTCAGCCAAACAAAAGGTACAAGGAAGTATATCTATTTACACCTTATAATTCCACCTCATATGCTAACATGGCCTGTTGTGTAGGCGAGGGAGCTCCAGCGCTGGAAAATGGAAGAACAGCAAAGGTTAGAAGAGGCACGACTAGCTGAAGAAGCAGCACTGGCACTTGCCGAAAAGGAAAAAGCCAAGTCCAGGGCAGCCATGGAGGCTGCTGAAGCAGCGCAGAGGATTGCAGAACTGGAAGCGCAAAAGAGAATCAATGCAGAAATGAAAGCATTAAAAGAAGCCGAGGAAAGAAATAAAGTATTAAATACGCTGGCACAATCAGATGTCAGGTACAGGAAGTACACAATTGAGGAAATTGAAGCTGCAACAGATTTCTTTTCAGAATCTCGGAAGATTGGAGAAGGAGGTTATGGGCCGGTATATAAATGTTATCTGGAACACACACCTGTTGCAGTTAAGGTTCTCCGTCCAGATGCAGCTCAAGGAAGATCACAGTTTCAGCAAGAGTTATGTGAACAACCAAATTTACATAGGCACAGGTTTGATGAGTGATTGGTTAACTTTTCAATCCAGGGACATTTTCCTGATCAGGGCTCATGCGAAAGAGGAAACATCTCTTAAGCAAAAGCATGTGATCTAACAGTGCTTAGAAATTATAGTAATTGCACATTCTTCTTCAGTTACTCACTGCAATTGGGACCAACTTCATACCCTTAATCAATAGAGACAGAACACTAGATTATACATTTTCTGTGCCCGAGCCTCACCAAATCATACAGTACCCTATCATAAAGAATTGATGAAAACTTTCAAATTGAAAACTTCTTTTTGAGATAATTGTGTTTTCCTACAAGATATGTTTATTTCCATTCCCCCATCCAGCCACTAGATTAGAATTCTCTTTCAGTATGGATTTATACTTACTTAAATGTCATTTTCCCCCAGGTTGAAGTCTTTAGCTGCATACGTCATCCAAACATGGTTCTTCTCCTAGGAGCTTGCCCAGAGTATGGGTGCTTGGTCTATGAGTATATGTCCAATGGAAGTTTAGAAGACCGGCTCTTCCAGAGAGGGAACTCTCCAACAATCCCTTGGCAGCATAGATTCCGAATTGCGGCTGAAATTGGCACTGGCCTGCTTTTCCTCCACCAGACCAAACCAGAGCCACTCGTGCACCGTGATCTAAAACCTGCCAATATCTTGCTTGACCACAACTATGTCAGCAAGATCAGTGATGTTGGCTTGGCGAGGCTTGTCCCTCCTTCTGTAGCAGATACTGTTACTCAATATCGGATGACTTCCACTGCCGGGACTTTCTGCTATATTGATCCAGAGTATCAACAAACGGGAATGCTCAGTGTAAAATCTGACATTTACTCTATGGGGATCATTTTCCTACAGCTAATAACGGCCAAGCCACCAATAGGGTTGACTCACCATGTTGAAAGGGCTATTGAAAGAGGAACTTTTGCTGAGATGTTGGATCCAGCCTTGCCTGACTGGCCAATTGAAGAAGCCTTAAGTCTTGCAAAGGTGGCACTCAAATGTGCTGAGCTAAGACGGAAAGACCGGCCGGATCTTGGGAACGTTGTCCTGCCAGAGCTAGAAAGATTGAGAGCAATTGCAGAAGAGAACATGTGGCAGTCCATGTCGTACAGTGCTGGTACTTCGCCCAACCATAGTCAAGTTTCCATGTCCCAAGTAAGTTGAGATTACTTAAAGTCAAACCTCCAAGTTCATATGCCACCCATCTAATCATGCTGCATATTAATCAGCTTATTGAATGTGAAGAGACTTGTGAAAGGAGCATGCCAGATTAAATCAAGATTTTTACACTTCAGAAACACTACTCTCTGGAATTTGGCAACCTGGACTGAACTTTCATATAAGAAACTCAATGAAGACAAGAATGAATCTATTACAAAATCTTAAGCTGCAAGGCAAATCACTGAGGTAGTATTTAGGGCATATTAGATTTACTGATAGATGCCCTCAACTTTTAAGTACAGAAATAATGATGAAAGTCATAAGGTCATAAAATGCATCCAACATGTTCTGAAGTAAATTCTTTCTTAGTAATTTTAGAAACATAAGAAATAAAGAAAAAGATGCATTCAATTCAATTGCTGTAGTGGGCACAATAGATAATTTAATTAAGACACTCAGATCTCTTTTATTTATAAATATCATTTCTCCATCTTCATTAATATAATTCTGCTATTTAAGCATTCTTACCAGCCCTGACATTCTAGAACGATTTTTGAAGGATGAATTAAGTTACCCAACAACTGCATGATCTGGCTACGATGGTACCAGGAGCCGATCAAGCACAGGGGGGTGCTTATAGATCAGCAAATAGGCTGATCGAGGAACAATTAGTCCCAAGCTCTACACCATAAAAATACATGAACGGTAATTTTCAATGGCAAGTAGAAGTTCATGATTGTCTTTAATTTTTGATTCATAATGCAAAGTTCCTCGAGTATTTGTGGCACATTTTTCAGTCCACACTGTACAGAACCAAGACAAGGTGAAGTAGGTGTCTCAAAAAATTGTTTCCATTTCATTACTTATACTATTTTTCCACATTCGTATGATCTTTGAGCTACCGCTAATTTTGTACATTTGCCAATACCAACATTTTGTGGGTGTAACAAGGGAGAAGAACATCCGTCAAAACAGTGTGCTTATGAGTTAAATGTTTATTTATGCATAGAATATTGCTTTTTGCCCACTTGTCTTTTTAGTGAAAGCTGTCCCTTTAAGGTAGAGTTTCACCTTTCAACAATTGAGTTACTGGCTTCATGAGCTGATGAGTCTTTCCTTGTTGTCTTATTGATTGAAGTACTGTACTAGCTCTTAGCCTTCCCTGGGATTGAGAAATAGGATGGTAATGGTTTGTGTGCACGAGAAAAGCCTCTCCCTTCCCCTCCCTCCGCTTTAGCTCCTTATGAGGGAAAGCTACAGTAATTCTTTGGATTATGGCCACGGGTGTTGTAATGTTCGTGTAGCATAACAAACCTAAGTATCTGCATAAATCCCAGACCCCAAAAGGCTTTGGTGGCATTAAATAAAATTGAGCATTTTTTTTTTATTTGGTGGAAAAGGGAAAAAGTTCTCAGACAAACGAGACACACACCCACACAAACATCCAAGAGAGAGAGAGAGGAGGGAGAGAGAGAGAGAGCTCTAGTATACTTTCTGAGGAATACAAAAATGGAGTACTCGAGTAATAGTCCTGCCTAGGATTCGCCTTTCCATTTTACGTTTTTGATAGGTAATAGTAATAATTAAACTCATTGATCATTGATATTGATTGATTTTGTGGTCAAAAAAGGGTAGAATTACAAATTTATACGTCTTGAATTCGAGTCTCTCATTGCATGAAACAGAGGTTTAATTGATGCACGTGGTTAGTGGGTGATTGTGTGTACTTAAGATTTGTTGTTGTGAATCTGAATGGCATTTGATTGGAGCAATTTTCTATGATCCGAGGAAAAACATTATTTCAACTTCCAGCTCATGAAAAATAGTTATATTTTCAGTTTATACGTAACTTTTTATGGGATTGGTATCTAAATGATAAACAAAGTTATGGCATATCATGTCAAACATTCCATGGGTCTAGCCATGTTATATAACTTACACCTTAAGATGAACTCAATTTAAGGCGGTGTGTTGATAGGGCAATTATCGGACTCCAACTGAGCCTAGATTTAGCGATTATGACAAATGAAAACTAATATACTCTAACAATAGGACAAGCTCCACATAAAGTCTCTGCTTTGTATTTCCATGATTGTCGGGAAAACATTGGTTCAATTTACACTTCATGAAGAATAATGCTATATTTTCAATTTACTTGAGATAATTGTAAGTGAAAGAGATACTCAAACTAAGAGTAGAGCCTCTTATATATATAGTCAAATAATAATACAAAGTGATTTAAACATCTTTGTGGTCTAGACAAAAATATAAAGTCATAGTAAGGGTAAAATGGAGGAAAGAAACTTTAATAAACTAGATTATACTTCAACACTCCCCCTCAAGTTAGGCACAAAAATATCAATTAAATCAAGCTTGACAACTGAGTCTCGAAGAATAGATAGAGTGACAGGTTTGGTGAAAACATTTGTAACCTGATTACTGGTCCTTAGAAACAATGGAGTGAAAATACCACAGCGAACCTTCTCCCGAAGAAAGTGAACATCGATTTCTATATGCTTCATCCTCTCGTGTAATACAGAATCAGAAGCGAACGGAATAGCAGATCGATTATCACAATATAATGTAGATGAATCAGTCACTGAAATCTCAACTCGCCAAGAATCGATCGTAGCTAGATAATCTCACATGTGCCAAGTGTCAGTGTCCGATACTCTGCCTCTGCTGACGAACGAGAGACAACTGTCTGCTTTTTGCTTTTCCAAGAGATAAGATGAATCCCTCGAAAAGCACAGAAGCCCGTAGTAGATCGACCGTCACATACTCTCCCATAATCTGAATCTGAATAATATGCTAGAGAACCAATCTGAGATCTTGATGCATAGAACAACCCAAATCCAGGACAAGACTTGATGTACTAAAGAATATGATAAACTGCATCAAGATGAGGCTGACACGGCCTGTGCATGAACTGACTAACTCGGCTGACAGCAAATAAAATGTCTGGCATAGTGTTGGCTTGGTAGATAAGTCTACCTACCTACCAACCTCTGATAGACAGTCGGATCTCTCAATTCCTCACCTTCAGGTTTGGAATCATGGGTGATGATATCGGTTTGCATCCCAGTGTTTGAGAGAAGATCCAGAATATACTTTCTCAAAGAAAAAAACAATACCCCTGGTGCTACGAGCAACCTCAATACTAAGAAAATATTGCAGAAATCCAAGGTCCTTCATATCGAATGTCTTCCCAAGGTCTACCTTGACTTGCACAGTCCCAGAAATATCATCTAC